TGTGTCCTGTGTAAACGAAGAGACGTGTTCAAATAAGATCCAAATAATCTGGGAAGCAGTTTACAAATAAAGACAATTTCGAATGAAGGCAATTTACTGCAAATATTGCCGTTTGCAGAGTACCAGAATTGTACGCATGTACATAAATCCATACTGTGTGCATATTCGTTATGTCATTTTCATAAGGTAAATCATTTGCATATAACAATGACATTCTACATTCACTTTTAGCACTAAATTATGATAACACTAAATTATTCGTGTTCGGCAAAGTGATATTGGAGAATATCACATAATATTTCGTGTAATAAAATAATCTGTAACCAAACCACAAGAAAACACCGATGACAGAGGTGATGTCATGTTTTAGAATATTGAACAAAGGCACATCCGATGGCAAAATCCATAACTCGTCTTCAGAAATTACAACACAATACATTTTCAAGTAATTTATATAACATTAAACTGAGATACAATTTGTATCAGAAAACATAATAAATATTATGAACCACAAATAGAATATAAACATTCTCGGGGTGGAGCTACGATTCGTTACAGAACATTCTACGTTGCTAATAAGGCGCGCACAATTGTACCATGTATTTCTATGGGCTCTGTGAGAGCTGCTGTGAAACATCGGTCAAAGAGCCGGTGAATATAGCTACATTCGAAAAAACTCTACAAACTTAACTTTGAAGCAATCCTGACCAACCGAATATATATGTTGCATGTGTAGGGATAAATCTTGTTACACTGTTCGGGAGAGTCTCAGCAACTGATGATTGCCAGGCTGTGGAAATGCCCGGATGTCCGCCCCTGGAACTCATTATTAAAACATGAGAGGTGAATTCGTATATTGTTTCAGATTCATGATCGGTAAGCCTGGGTTTATATCCTAATGTAGACCGAACCTCAAAAAGGGTCAACCTACCCCAGATGTGTTTGCCACAGAACAATTCCACAGGGAATGTTTGACAACCGTGCCTACTGGTTAACGACACGATAGCAAGTTATTGTCATTTGATACAACACCGTGACGTAGTTCCAAAAACGAATATAGCTTATGAGGTACTAAGCCACGTGTCAACACTAGCAATTTTCACATACAAAATTCAAATATTTAAAGCGG